GCATATCAGGAATAGATTTATTAAGGTTCTGTTAAGGTTTATTATAAGGTTCTGTTAACAGTTGTTGATATGTCAAATGTTGTTCTAATTGTAAGTTGTGTAATGTAACATATGTAGTAACCACTAAGAAATCACCAAGAAGAAACTCAGAAGACAAGAAGGAAGATAACAAAAAGGCTCATTGTAAGAAAGTACCCAAATACAAACAAAAACAGAAAAATCAGAATAAAAAAAAAAAGAAGATATTAATCAGTCAAAAAACAAATAACAAAATGTGTGAGATAGACACTTCATTTTCAGTAGTAACCATAAATGTTCTAAACACCCCATGCAAAAGGCAAAGAGTGGCAGAATGGGTAAAAAAAACATGATCTATCCTTTTTCCCATTTACAATAAACACATCTTAGATATAAGGACACAAACAGACTGAAAATAAATAAAAGAGTGGAGAAAAATATTCCATGCAACCAGTAAACAAAAAAAGATCAGGGGTACTGATATCAGATAAAATAGACTTTAAATCAAAATCTGTTACAAGAGATAAAGAAGGACATTACAGAATCCAGCAAGAAGACATAACAATTATAAATATATATATATATATATATATATATGCACCTTACAGCAATGTACCAAAATACATGAAACAAATACTGTCTAATATGAAAGGTGAAATAGACAACTCCACACTAATAGTAGGGGACTTCAACACACCACTTTCTATTACAGACAGAACATCTAAAAAGAAGAGTACTAAGAACTTAGATAAAACCATAAGCCAACTGGACCCAATAGACATATAGAGAATACTCCACCCAATATCAGAACAATACAGATTTTTCTTCAGCACACATGGATCATTTTCCAGAATAGACCATATGCTAGGATACAAAACAAGTCTCCACAAATTTAAAAAGATCAAAATCATACAAAGCATTTTCTCTAACCATAACGGTACGAAGCTAGAAATCAACAACAGGATAAATAAGGAAAAAAGAATAAACACGTGGAAACTAAATAATACAGTACTAAAAACTATTGGGCCATAGAAGAAATCAAAAGTGGAATTAAAAAATTCCTAGAATCAAAGGAAAATAAAAGCACAAACATATCAAAACCTTTGAGACACAGCAAAAGTAGTACTCGGAAGGAAAGTTATAGCAATAAATGCCTACATTAAAAAAGAAGAAAGATCCAAAATCATTAACTTGAACAAATAGAAAAAGAAGAGCAAAAGAAGCCAAAAGCTACCAGAAAGAAACAAATAATAAAGATGAAGGCAGAAATAAATGAAATTGAAAACAGAAAAACAATTCAAAGAATTAACACAAAACCAGAAGTTGATTCTTTGAAAGGAAGCAGTGTGATGAATTACTTAGATGGCCTTTCTTGCCATGGTCTTATAACTCACCCAGGTGATTGGGCAGGGCTGTGCAAATAAGATAACTGTGGCCCACCAAGGGGATTGGTCAGTTTTGCCTTAAAAGAGAGCCAATTCCAGAGCAGAAAGAACAGCCCACCACCACCAATGAAGGAGAGACTGGCAGGAGAGACCCGCAGGAGACAGTACAGTGGGCTTCCCAGCCCATGAACTGAGAAAGCTGAGTGCCTTTGGGCAGAGACAGAGGGCCAGGGAGAAGCCTACCCCTGACCCATGAATTTGGGATTTGCCAGCCTCCACAACCATGTGAGCCATTTCCTTTATATGGTTCGTGAGTTCTGTGGGGCGTTGTAGAGAATTAGGGAACCCAAAGACAGGAGGGAGAGTACTGAGGGGAGAGGGAGTAGATGATGTTAGAGATGATGGAGTGGTACAGCAGCTTGGAAGAGTTGGACATTTGGGACATCTTTAACTTCTGCCTCATAGGAACCAGCTTTATGCTGATCTTACAAAAGAAATTATTCATTTAAGGATCAATAAAACAGACAAATTAATGGCTAGATTGACAAAAGGAAAAGAAAACAGAAGAGGCAAATAACCAAATTAAGAAATGAAACTGGTGATATTACAACCAATCCAACAGCGATAAAGGAGATCATACTATGAAAAATACTATGAAATACTATGAAAAATTATACTCCAACAAATTTGAAAACTAGATGAAATGGACAAATTCCTAGAAACACACTACCTACACAAACTAACACAGAGGTAGAAAGTTTAAACAGACCCATTACAAAAGAAGAGATAGAAGATGTCATAAAAAAAACTGCTAACAACAACAAAAAAAGACCAGGACCAGATGGCTACCCTGGAGAATTCTACCAAACATTCTGAGAAGAGCTGACACTAACCCTACTCAGTCTCTTCAAAAACATAGAAAATGAAGCGAACACTATCGAACGCCATGAAGCCAGCATAACCCTGATACCTAAACCAGGAAAAGACATAATAAAAAAAGAAAATTACAGGCCATTATCCCTTATAAACATAGATGCAAAACATTTTAACAAAATTCTAGCCAACAGACTTCAGCAACATATCAAAAAAATCATGCACCATGATCAAGTGGGATTCATACTGGGATTATAAGTGTGGTTCAACATCAGAAAATCAATCAATGTAATCCACTACCATATAAATAAATCAAAGGAAAAGAACCATGTGATCATATCAGTTGATGCAGAAAAGGTATTCAATAAAACTCAGCACCCTTTCCTGATAAAAACTCTCAACAAAATAGGAATAGAAGGAAAATTTCTCAACATAATTAAGGGCATATATGCAAAACCAACAGCCAATATTATACTCAACGGAGAAAGGCTGACAGTCTTCCCTTTGAGGAATGGGAACAAGATAAGGGTGCCCATTATCACTACTCTTATTCAATATTAGGGTAGCCTTGGTGGCACAGTGGTTAAAGCACTTGGCTGCTAACCAAAAGGTGGGCATTTTGAACCCACCAGCTGCTCCTCGGGAGAAAGATATGCAGTTTGCTTCCATAAAGATTTACAGCGTTGGAAACCGTATGGGGCAGTTCTACTCTGTCCTATAGGGTTGCTATGAATCAGAATTGACTTAATGGTAGTGGGTTTGGTTTTTGGTTGTTCAACATTGTCCTGGAGCCCTGGTGGCACAGTGGTTAAGCACTTGGCTGCTAACAGCAAAAGGTCAGCTGTTCGAATCCACTAGCTGCTCCTTGGAAATCTATGGGGCAGTTCTACACTGTCCTATAGGGTTGCTATGAGTCGGAATCAACTTGACAACAATGGGTTTGGTTTTTTTTTTATTCTAGTGAAGTGAGTAGTGTCTGGGGTCTTAAAAGCTTGTGAGTGGCCATCTAAGACACAATTACTGTTTCAGCAGGAGTAAAACAGTAAGAAGGTAACCAAAAACAAAAAGAAGAAACAAGTCTACAAGACTCACAACCTCATCTATCCTGAGACCAGAAGAACTAGATGGTGCCCAGCTACCACTACTGACTGTTCTGACTGGGGCCACAATAGTTGGTCCCGGATAGAATGGGAGAAAAATATGGAGCAGAACTCAAATTCTTATTTAAAAAAAAAAAAAAGCCAGACAAACTGGGACAGGAGAGAACAGAAGACCCCCTGAGACTCTCACCCTGAGACACCCTTTAAACCTAGAACCAAACCTATCCCGAGATCACCTTTTAGCGAAATAGCAGAGTGGCACATAAAGTGAAGGATATTACCTGTAAGATCAGTTCCCTTTTTAAAAACCATCAGTATGAGATCAAAAGGTCAAAAATTTCTCAAAAGCAAAGATGAGAAGAAAAGGATGCAGGGAAACTACTGGAACGGGAATAAACAGAACACAAAGAGAATGTTGACACATTGTGATAAATGAAACTAACGTCACTGAACGATTTGTGTGGAAATTGTCAAATGGGAACCTAGCTTGCTGTGTAAACCTCACCAAAAACTCAGTAAGATATTATTTTAAAAAATTTGCTATTTCAGCCATTTTTACGTGTACAATTCAGTGACACTGATCACATTCATCATGTTGTGCAACCATCACCATTATCCATTTCCAAATTATTTCCATGACCCTTAACAGAAACTCAGTACCCTTTAAGCAATAACTCCCATTACCCCCTCCTGCCTGCCCTGATAACCACTAATAAACTCTGACCTCTATGCATTTGTCTACCTAGAATAGGCGCCACACTTCACAGCTGGCGCTGTGAGCTGCCAGTGCACAGGTACGAGGTCTGACTCGTCAGTGAGGCAGCTCCAGAATGGACCATCAGGTGGAATCTTGGAAAGGACAGAGTTTTGGTGTCAAACAGACATGGATTGACAACCCAGCTCTGCACTGGATGACCTGGAGCCAAGTCACTTTTCTCAGTCTCAGTTTCTTCAGGTATAAAATAATGGTTTTGGAAAAAAAAAAGAAATGGGGGAACATGGAGGAACCTTGAAAACATTATGCTGAGTGAAATAAGTCAGCCGCATAAAAGGACAAATACTGCATGATCTCACTTACATGAAATAGGCAAATATATAGAAACCAAAGCTCACTAGTGGTTACCAGGGGTGGGAGGGAGGGGAAAAAAGGGAGTTACGGCTTGGGGGCGCCGAGTTTCCATTAATGGAGGTGGAATAATTTGGAAAAGGATAGTGGTGATGGTTGCATAACATGATGAACGTAGTCAATGCATGGATTGCACGTGTAAAAATTTTTGAACCGGCAATATTTTGTCATATGTATTTTTACTACGATTTTAAAAAAATGGTCAAAAAAACAATATGGGAGAAAGGATACCAGACAGAAAGCCAGGTTCAGGTTCCATCTCTACCCCTTCTCTTTGGGTTGCAGTTTTCATGTTGGCAAAACAAGATGGCCCCTTCCCAGCTCTCCCATTCTGATTCTCTGACTCCTTTTTGGATAGAGCAAGTTGCAGGCCTGAGGAGAATTCTGCCCTTACCCATGCCCGGCGGTCCTGAGAACTGGATCACTGCACGTCAAGACCAGTGAACAGACCACACGTGGCCTCGATGTCCATCACCTGGCGGAAAGGCTGGGCATTACCTGGTGTGGCTGTTGGAGGACAGGCTCTCCCAGGGCTGCACGCTGCAGCCGGCCACGGCAAAGGCTCCCCCGCAGCTGCCATCCAGCTTCATGAGCAGGGCTTTGGCAGCATTCTCTGCCGTCTTCCGGCAGTCATGAGCCCGCTTGAGCATCTGAGTGATGTTTTCATCCCCTGACTGGTCCCCTACATTGCAGAGAAGCCAACGGATTAGTCAACATGTGTCTGGATAAGGCAAGTCTGTGAACGAGCTTGGATAATCAAGTACTCGGGGCAGAGGAGGAGTGGTGGAGAGGAAAAGCACTGGACAGACAGCGAGGAGATCTGTGTTCTGGGCTTGGCTCTGCCATTTAGTAGCTGTACTTGGGAAGGCATTTCTCTGCTCTGGGCTCCCCTTCCCTCACCTACAAATGAAAGGGTTGGCCAACGTGATCTCTGAGGTCTGTTTTCTGCGCTAACACATGCTATGATTTTTAATTATCCAGGCTCCTGTCTTTATCTCCCACTTGGTCACAAGTCTACTGTTTGGACATTCTTCCGTGTGCTGGCACTTCTTTGTGAATGAGGGCAGGGAAAAATCCAGGCAAACTGTGCCATATCTACAGCTTTGGTTAGAGCTTTGTGTAGGCAAGAGAAACAAAAATTAATGGTTAAAATGAGAACTTTATCCCTCCTTCCTCCCCCTGAACTGCTGGCAGCCACTAATCTTTTTGAGGGATGAAGAGATGGAACACGGACATTTGTAGGGCAGTGAAACCATTCTGTATGATACTGTAATGGTGGACACAGGATATTACACATTTGTTTTACCCACAGGACTGTACACACAAAGATTTCAGTTAAAAATATGGATCAATGTTGGTTCATAAATTATAACAGATGTACCACACTAATTCAAGGTGATAATAACAGAGGAAACTGTGTGTGGGGAGAGGGCACATATGGGAACTCTGTACTTGCTGTGTAATTTTTCTCTAAACCTAAAACTGCTCTAAAAAATAAAAGAAAGTTAAAAGGAGAGAGAACTTTAGGCTGTGTCTGCATTTTCTGTACGGATGCTATCCCTGACCTTTCCCTCGGCTTGGTCAGGGGTGGTGAACTCAGGTAACTGGGCTGCAGCAAGACACTGGGGAGTGGTGGACACCAGCCCAGAAACCGACAGTAACCTCCCTGCTCTCATTCTTAATGTGTCTTAAAAACTGGGCTGGCCAAACAAATCACTAGTTTGCTACCTCTGCAGCCTAGATCCGTGCTTTCTGGAATATTTTCACGTGAAATCTTACACTGAAGCCTAATACACAATTGGTAAATGTGGAACTGGTAGACGTGGACAAGGTTTGGGGGAATATGCTCAGCTTCCCCACTCTCCAACCCCACTGCTGACACTCAAAGAAATGCCTCCAGCTCTGCAAGGCACAGTTTGAAAACCACTGGCCTAAATTATCTAGAATGAACGTAATGACTGCCTATGAAGTGGGCAAGAAACAAAGAAAGAAACCACAGTAACCGACAGTGTGGGCAAAATTCACAAACTATTACTTGCTGTGCTGTGCAGCTATAGGGCACATTGGGGCAGAGTGGCAAGTTAATGGCTGCTGTCAGCAGGACAAAACCCAATGCTGTTGAGTCAATTCCAACTCATGACTACCCCATGTGTTACAGAGTAGAACTGTTCCATAGGATTTTCTTGGTTGTAATCTTTTCACAAGCAGACTGGCAAGCGTTTCTTCCATGGTGCTGCTGGGTGGGTTTGAGCTGCCACCTTTAGGTTAGTAGCTGAGTGCAAACCGTCTGTACCAGCCAAGGATCTTCAGTAGGATGAAACCTATGGAGGGTGGGAAGGAAATAGGGGTGGGCATGTCCTGCAGTCTAAGGTTCCCAGGACCTTGATTAATTTCTCTGACCACCTTCAGTCACTAAGTGACTGCTCTTTGAATTCTACTCTGAAGTAGGCATGATATCACTCACTGACTCACCTTATAAATATATACGTGAGCTACCCAGTATCAGGCAAATATAAAGCATTTCATTATTGATTTTAAATGCAGATTTATTTAAGCCTTTTTAGATTCTACCATGTAACTGTGCTGAGTAGGTACAAGACTAATAAAAGGTACTTTTCCAGGATGGAATTGTTTAAGATATTCCTCTCATACAACCTGGAAATAAGATGATTAATTTTTTTCTGTAATTGATCATTTTTCTTAATACATATATTTAAAAAAAAAAAAAACTCTGACAGCAGGCCAAGATCATTTTAGGATCTGTTTCATATGAGAATAAAGTTTTATGGTTCAGTTAGAAGACCCTAAAAAAATGAGGTTTCTAATGGAAATGCTGGCAGAGTCTCTACTTTTGGGCTGGGATTGTAATTACTATTTAAAAAAAAAAAAAGACCCAGAGGGAGGAGTCAACCACATCAATAAAGGCCTGCTCGCATGTAAGGTAACTTGGATATGAAACAGGAAATTAATAATGCCCAAGATACTTCCCTTTCTTCAGATTTGCTTCACATTCCTGTGCATGTCAAAACCAAAGAAGGGAAAACATTTTTTTTCTACAGTGAATGTTTTAGGCCAAAGCTAGACCCCAGGAAAAAGGAGGGAGGAGCTGGAAAGAATACAGGGAGATTCGTTTGGGATGTACCCTAGTTGTGACAGTCTTTGTAAGGTACATGCTAGAAGGACAAGCCCCAATGGAGGCTCGCAGACCTTGGGAGAAATGCACAAACCCAGAAGCCCCTTGGAAGAAAGGCCTGGCGATCTACTTCTGAAAAGTCAGCCATTGAAAGCCCTGTGGAGCACACAAGTTGGGGTTGACTTGATGACAACTGGTTTCCACTTACTCAAAATTGAAAGGCAGAAGGGGGCCAGTGCAGATCTTGAGATACAAATCACATGACCACAGGGGTGAGGGGAAGGGAAGGGTGCAGGGAGGTGAGGTAGATGAGCATTCTCTGAAGCTGACAAGCATGGGGTGTGCAACTAATTCCTCATTATTCATAAGATACCTGGAGACGAGGTCAGGGGAACCCAGACTTCAAAACTACCCAAAAAGACATACTGAAAAAAAGCATAGCCAATAAAAGCAACAAAGATAAGGCAAAGGCCACATGGGCAGCAAAGGGATCCTCCACAACCAGCATCACAGCAGGAGGCTACGGAAAAGTTGGTTCCTTTAATCACTATGAGCCTCCCACTCCATCTGGTCCTACTGTCAGCCCAGAAGAGTATGTTTCCTAAGAGGGGTTGTTTGTTTTAACTTGTCTGTAATTCTGTTTCCACTCCAGTTCTTACAGCATTAAACATAAACAATTTACTCAGTCATGAGGAAAAGCAAAAAACACACTTGACAAGCGAATTTCATGTTGTCGGGAGATGATCCAAAGCTAACAGCTGGGATGGGGGCGGTGGAGCAAAGGAGGCTGGGAAACCAGGTGGGGAAGAGGATGGAGGGACTCAGGTAACACTTACCAGCAGAGGACCCCACACCAGCTGCTCGGAACTGCCCCAGGATGAGGCTCTGCTCGCTGTCGGCCAGCGCCAAGAGGAGTTCATAGGCTTCTATGCACTGCTCGCTGAAACACAAACAGAGGGTCCTCAGCTCTAGCAGGGAACAAGGAACATCTTCAGTGCCCCCACCATTTCCTGGTAGGAAGCAGCTCTGGATCCTCCTCTCAGCCTCACTATCCATATAAGCAAAGAAACCACCCACGAATATTCCCAGGCAAAAGCCAGTGGCTTGTTCTGCTATACTGGCCATCTCCCCACTGCCCCTTTTTCTTTTTTGTTTACTTTACACTGTTGCTGTTAGCTGCCCTTGAGTCAATTCTATCTCATGGTGACTTCATGCGTGCAGACTAGCACTGCTCCACAGGGTTTTCAAGGTTGTGACCTTTTGGAAGTGGATCACCAGGCCTGTCTTCTAAGACACCTCTGGGTGGCTTTGAACCACCAACCGTTTGGCCAGCAGTCAAGAGCTTAACTGTTTGTGCCACCCAGGGACTCCTTTACTTTACACTAAAAAAAAACAAAACCAAACTCATTGCGGTCAAGTCGATTCCGACTCATTGCGACCCTACAGGCAACTGCCCCATAGGGTTTTCAAGGAGCAAATGGTAGATTTGAACTGCTGAATTTCTGGTTAGTAGCTGAGCTCTAACCACTGGGAAACCAGGGCTCCTTACTTTACACTAGGATATAGAAAAATAAAAGAAGCAATAAAGTTGGGAGAGACAAGTTTGTTATCCCTTTGAGGATCAGTGTCTTAGTCGTCTAGTGCAGCTATAACAGAAATACCACAAGTGGACGGCTTTAACAAAGAGAAGTTTATTCTCTCACAGTCCAGTAGGCTACAAGTCCAAATTTAGGACATCAGCTCCAGGGGAAGACTTTCTCTGCTGGCTCTGCAGGGAGGTTCTTGTCATCAGTCTTCCCTTGGTCTGGGAGCATCTCAGTGTAGGAACCTTAGGTTCAAAGGACACGCTCAGCTCCTAGCACTGCTTTCTTGATGGTATGAGGTCCCCAACTCTCTGCTTGCTTCCGTTTCCTTTTATCTCTTGTAAGATAAAAGGTGGTGCAGGCCACACCCCAGGGAAACTCCCTTTACATTAGATCAGGGATGTGACCTTAGTAAGGATGTTACAACAATCCCATCCTAATCGTCTTTAACATAAAATTACAATCACAAAATGGAGGACAACCATAAAAATCTGGGAATCATGGCCTAGCCAAATTGATACACATTGTTTGGGGGACATAATTCAATCCATGACAATCAGCTAAAAGGGAAACATAATATACTCGTGGTAGCTAGTCTCACTCAGGAGTGCAAACAGTCAAAGCACTTGGCTTCTAACCAAAAGGTTGGAGGTTTGTGTCCACCTAGAGGTGCCTAGGAAGAAAGGCCTGGCAATCTACTTCTGAAAAACCAGCCATTGAAGACCCTAGAAAGCATAGTTCTACTCTGACACACATGGGGTCACCATGAGTTGGGAGTCAACTTGACGACAACTGGTACCCAGCCTCCAAGATAGCTCCCAAAGATCCCTACCTCCTGATACCCACACTCTTGTGTAGTTCCCTCCCACACAGTACCAGGGCTGGTCTGTGCAACCAGTAGAATATGGTAGGAGTGATAGTATGTTATTACAAAACACTGTGGCTTCCCTCTTGGCCTCTCTCTCACTTCACTTTCTCACTTGGATCATTTGCTCTGGGAGAAGCCAGCTGACATGTCTTGAAGACACTCAAAAAGCCCCGTAGAGAGGCCCAAGTGGTGAGGAACTAAGGCTTCCAGCCAACAGACAGGAAAGAGCTGAGGAATCCAGCCAATAGTCATGTGGATGAGCCTTCTTAGAAGCAGATCTTCCAGCCCCAGTTAATGCTTCAGATGATACAGCTCTGGCTGACAGCTTGTTGGAAACTCATGGGATCCTGGGCCAAAACTGCCCAGCTAAGCCACTCCCAAATTCCTACCCTCAGGAACTGTGACATAATAAGTAATTCATTACACTGCAATGGATAATATAGCACCTCATAAGGCACACTATTTTGATCTAGACTTACACTGTTCAGTATAGTAGTAGCCACTAGCCACATATGGCTATTTACATTCAAATTTTTTAAAGTTAAATAAAACGGCAAATTCAGTTTCTCAATTGCAGTAGGAATATTTCATTTGTTCAGTAGCCACATGTGGCTGGTGGTTACCATATTAGACAGCACAGATATAGAATGGTTACATCATTGCAGAAAGTTCTTTTAGATGCTTGTAAAATTGTCTCATGAAACATTCTTGGGCCTTCACAAAACCTATGACAAGAGTTTGATTTTGGGTTTCTAAGATAAAAAAAAAAAAGCCCCTTTGAGTCTATCATCCATTGGACAAACGAAGTAAAGGATCAAAGAAGGCCCCCTTTCCATCACTGCCTGAGACTCACATGGATCCAGGTCCACACAGGAGGGATAGTGTGTGCATAATACCTGTGGGCTTCCAAGCAAGATGGCTGCAGTAGCAAAATTTCCCCTTTAGGCAAATAACAGAGTAGTCTCCAAGCTGAGCAGGGGAAATGTTGCTTTAGCCAACATTTAGTCAACAGACCATCTGTTTTCAATTGTCTTTGTTTCATCCTCCTTTACTGAGAGTTAAGGAAAAGGGCCTAATCATTAGCTCTTGATATTGGCAGCTCCTCCTTTCAAGGGCAGTCCATCTTCCAGGTTGGAGATTGTGGGACAGTTCCTCATCTGTGAGGATGTGTGAATGTGAAGAAAGACATCTCTGATGAAAGGCAGGCTGTGGGTACAGAACAGCCTATTTTAAGAGTTGCCATAGATGGATCATCTGTTTGCTTTGGTGTGTTTGTAAATTAGTATGATTGCTCTCCAGCTTTGGTCTCATATATTTTGTTTTTGTTTTTTGAACAAACATCGATGTTTCTTAAAATAATATTGAGCTTTTCAGAGGATGTGAAGAGTAAGATACAGTCACTACTCTGGGACCTTGGCAAACATGCCCAAGCGGTAATACTAATAAGATGAACCTATAAAAACAATAATAAAAGCACAGTGTTGTAGCTATTATTAAACAAGCAATAATTTAAAGGTAGCTAAATTCCAAAGCTGATGAGGCTGAAAAAAAGTGGTACATTCATACACCAGTGAACCATCAATGAATGGATTGTAGTCATTTCAAATGGATTGTAGTCATTTCAAATGGCTTGTTTTTATGCAAAAACACTGGTGGAGAGCCTGAAGAGCCATGGAAATATTCGTATCCTTTGACCTATAACTCTTACCCTAGGGATTTTATCCTGACGAAAACATTCAAAAGATATTATCTGTATTAAACTATTCACCACAGAATTATTTTCAATATCAGAAAGTCTTCAAAAGCCTAAATGTCTTTTAGAGAAATGAGTAAATACAGTAACAATATATAAACTTGATGCAGGGGATACAGTCATTCAAAATAAACAGAGACTATTAAGCAGCATTTTAAAAAAGTATAACAAATTGAAGAAATAGAATACATAAGAGTTTCAACTACATAAAACATATGAATAAGGATAAAGACTTAAAAGAACAATAAATATTTAAAACAAAAATAGATATTCTGAATGCTATTACTTGAACGAAATAATACTGAGTATGCTAGCAGAAACATACCTATTTACTAATACCAAATTCATTACGGTCATTTTCTTAATTGCTACAACAGAGACATGAAATGAGTTTCAACACGTATCACTAGTATTTGCCGGTCCAACTCCCCAGTTATGTCTTCTAAAAGCCTGTTTTCTACTTTCATCCAGAAAGTTACCATGGATGCATTTCTAAATTAAACTGACTACACAGATACAGATGTGTGACTTCCCCACCTCCAACTGCTCGCTCACCTGTACTGTAAGGCCAGCCTCAGTGCTGTGGCATTGGATTCGTATTTTCCCACCAGCATGCTCATCCGCTCAGCGTTGCTCTTGCATTCCTCCAGGGTTATGGTTAGGAGGTCATTTTGGGATTTGAGGTGTTCGATCCGGCTACAAAGGAAGAAAACCACTTGAAAATTTTATCCTTGGATTATAATTAATTTCAGTAGTGTAACCTATATATTCAAGGAGCCCTGCTGGCACAGTGGTTAAGTGCTCCGCTGCTAACCAAAAGGTTTGAACCTACCAGCTGCCTGTGGGAGAAAGATGTGGCGGTTTCCTTCCGTAAAGATTACAGCCTTGGAAGCCCGATGGGGGATTTTTTTTTTTTTTTTTTTAATATTTTATTGTACTTCAGGTGAAGGCTTACAGAACAGATAGTTTCTCATATAACAGTAACACACATGCTGTTTTATGACATTGGTTAACAACCCCACAACATTTTAACCCTCTAAATTCTCAACTTTTTTTTTTTTTCTTTTGTGAAAATACACATAGCCAAAGATACGCCATTTCAAAAATTTTTTTTTTACATACACATTTAAGTGACATTGACTACGCTCTTCTAATTGTGCTGTTATTCTCACTTAAGATGAAGGCTTACAGGACAAAATAGTCTCCCATTTAACAGTTACTACAAATGTTGCCCTATGACAATGGTTAACAATCTCACAACACATCAAGAATATCCTTACTCTACTTTGTGTTCCCTATCATCAGCTTCCTACTCCCCTTCTGCCTTCTGGGCCTTGTCACTGGACTCCTGTACCTCGTTACTCTCATGGTTTTACTGGGCTGTCCACTCGCAGGCTGATCAGTGAACCTCGAAGGTAACTTTACCACTGAGCTAAAAGGGTGTCTGGGGGCCATACTCTCAGGGTTTCTCCAGTCTCCTTTAGGCCAGTCAATCTGTCTTTTTTTTTTTTTTTTTTTGTGAGGTAGAATTATGCTCTACATCCTTCTCCAGCTCTGTCCAGAACCCTCTGTTGTGATCCTGGTCAGAGCAGTCAGCGGTGGTAGCCGGGCACCATCTAGCTGTACTGGACTCAGTCCGGTGAAGGTCTTGGTAGCTGTGGACCATTAGTCCTTTGGACTAATCTTTTCGTTGTATCCTGTTCTCTTCATTCTCACTTGCTCCCGAAGAGATGAGACCAGTGGAGTATCTTAGATGGCCGCTCACAGGCTTTTAAGACCCCAGACACTACTCACCAAGGTAGAATGTAGAGCATTATCTTTATATGTAGTGTCATGCCAATTGAGCTAGATGTTCCCCGAGACCATGGTCCCCAGAGCCCTCCGTCCAGCAACTCAGTCCTGATGGGGGATTTTTACTCTGTTCTGTAAGTTGCTATGAGTCAGAATTGACTCAATGGCAACGGGTTGATGGATTAACCTATATTCAGGTCAGAATGCATGTTAGGATGGGGGCTTATCACATGCTTTAGCAAATGCAACTGACAAAATAATAAAGAAGTAACTCTAAATAAAAGAATCATGAGATTCTGTGTGAATCAGAAATCAAAAATAAGTCCCTTGGTCACTTCCCATCCTGTCACCCACACACCCTTTCTGTGTTTGCCCTGTGCCACATACAGTGCTAGGCTCTGGGGATACAGCTGGTAAAGGAGACACCGCCTACCTTGAGGCCTTAATGAGAGTAACATCAGGTACACTTCAATAAGCCACCCTCCACAGGGGCAAATGAAAACCAGTATCATCACAATAGCTACTATTTGTTGAACCCTTGCTCAATAATTCTCCCAATAACTTCTCTGCTTCCACGCTTGCCCCCTCCCTTTCCATTTGTCATACCTGTAAATCAGATCTTGATTTTCTCTTACTTAAAATTCTTCAGTGGTTTCCAATTATACTTAGAATGAAGAGTAAATTTTGTCCATGGCCTCAAAATCCAAATGCAACCCAGCCAGTGCCTACTCTGCCACCCCTGCTCATGAACGCCTCCTTTCACTTACTCCATTTCAGTCACACTGGCCTTTGGACAGTTCCTACTTCTTGCTGACCTCTTTCCATCCTCAAGGTTGATGAGTCGGCCCCTAAAACTCTTCTTAGCTTATCATATGGCTGCTCCTTTTTATCCTTAAAAATCTCAACTTAATGTCACCTCTTCAGGGAAGTCTTCCCTGACTACCTATCTAAAATAGACATCCCACCCCGCCCTCATTACCCTGTCACAGGGTCCTATTTATTTTCTTCTTGGAGCTTTTCAAAATAATCTTGTTTGTTTCAACTCTAACAGCATTGGAAAGAGAGACAGACTGCTCCACAATAATAGTAGGAGACTTCAACACTCCACTTTTGTGAAGGACAGAACATCCAGAAAGAAGCTCAACAAAGACACAGAAGATCTAAATGCTACAATCAACCAACTTGATCTCATGGACATATACTGAACACTACACCCAACAGCAGCCAAGTACACTCTCTTTTCCAATGCACATGGAACATTCTCCAGAAGAGACCACATATTAGGCCATAAAGCAAGCCTTAACAGAATCCAAAGCATCAAAATATTACAAAGCATCTTATCTGATCATAAAGCCATAAAAGTCGAAATCAATAACAGAAAAAGCAAGGAAAAAAAATCAAACACATGGAAACTGAACAACACTTTGCTCAAAAACTACTGGGTTACAGAAGAAAGTAAGGATGGAATAAACAAATTCATAGAATCAAACGAGGATGAAAACCCATCCTAGATAACCTTTGGGACACAACAAAAGCAGTGCTCAGAGGTCAGTTTATAGCAATAAATGCACACATTCAAAAAGAAGAAAGGGCCATAATCAAGACATTAACCTTACAACTTGAACAAGTAGAAAGAGAGCAGCAAAAGAAGCCCTCGGGTGCCAGAAGAAAGGAAATACTAAGAATTAGAGCAGAATTAAATGAAACAGAGAATAAAATAATCTTGTTTCCTTTCTATCTCCCCTCACAGAATATAAGCTTCATGAAAGCAGGGACCTTGCCTATTTAATTTTTCTTTGCATGCTAAATAGCCTAACACATATTTGTGCTTAAAACAGATTTGTTGAATGATGAAACACACTTTTGATAAGTATAATCCTACCCCCTCCACATATATACTCACACACAATCACAAAGTTAAAGGCTTTCTCTTTATTTTTGAGAGTAACAAGCCTCTAACTTTGAGATAGGTGGTTAATAACAGGCATCAGGACATACTGATAGACTGTTTCTAGGAACCCATAGGTTCTAGTACCATCTATGATCACAGAGAGAACAATGGACATGAGATCAAAGGGCAGGGGCTGGAATTCTGGCTCAGGCTATTTAATAGCTCTGGACCCAAGGGAAGTTACTCAACTGCTAAGTCCTTGTTTTCTCATTTGCAAAATGAACTGCCCAATCCTAACAAATTGAGGATTAAGTGACACTTCTGTGAAGGCCCTTTGTAAACTGCTAAGCACCACAGTAATGTGAACTACCAGCATCAAACATTCCTCCTTCTGTGGTCTTTCCTGAGTGCACATAACTGAGGAGAAAGGAACCTTTCCAAGTCCAGCCACAAAGCAGGCTGGTTAAATCCCAGACTCTGTGGAGAGGGCCCCCTGAAGGCATCTGACTTTGTTAAATTGCAAAGGGCAGATCTGATTCCATTTTTAAGCACTCTCTGGCCAGTGATACTTAGAGGGCTGCTGCTTCTTTACTGCTACACAGTAATCATCAGGATTGTCACTCTTAAGTATTCTGGATTTAATAGGAAAACCATTTAATTTCAGGATTTAAAATGATCTACATTGCCACATTTCCTCACTTCTCAAGAACTATATTAAACAGTTTCAAATCAGGGAGGATTAACATGATAATTCAATTTATTCAGGTTTGCCATACCCAAGGGGAATGGCATTGAGCAATGGTGAACAGCAAATGGTATCCACATTTCTTCCTGGTTAGTTCATAAGACTCTCAAACCCTTATTGTGTTCTCCCACTGAAGGTTTGTAGGTCAAGGCAGCCACACCATGCTTTGGTGCAATTTAACAGTCCATTCTGCCACTGGGGAACCAATTGTGAGTCAAACTGGTTACCCTGGTTTGGCCCTGGTCCTTCTCCTTTGCTGTTTTAGTAACTCCTTCACTGCTGGAATGACACACAACCAGTCTTTGCCAAGAGGCAGGAGGACAAACTCAAACTACCTCTATTGTTGGGAAGAATCCACAAGCTGGATATATGGTAAAATTATTCTACATAGAACTGTTAGCATAGGATGTAATGACTCAGAATTGCACAAAATTCAAAGAGCATAAATAAAATTAGGTAGCCATCTGGAAGAGCAGAGAGTGACAAACCAGTTTGCCTGTTGTAAATGCATGCCTGGTCAATCCCAGAAATGACTAGACCAAATTGTCTTTGCTGGTTCTGAGTAGCTCAAGGCGCCCCTGGGACTCTGACTCAACATTGTGGAATTTCTCTCTGTGGGTCTCTGCCGCACAGGCCATCTTTGACCTACTTACCACTCTGTGTGGACTCTTCCCAGGACTGGCTACTTACTATGCGAAGCCCAACGCAAAATGAAAAGGTGGGGTCCCTTGTTCATAAATTATTAAGACTTTAAAAGGGTGACAGCAAAGCAGTAAAGCAAGCGTGAGGTCCTTCTAAGCACAATGCCGTGTGTGGCTGCACAGAGCCCCGACCTGTGGGGCCAGCCCTGACTGCTGCAAGCACTCTGTTGATTACCAAGATGGCTGGAAACTCACAACCCCACCAGCAAGACAGCATCACTCCACGTCACATACACAAACCAACCTGAGAAGATTTTTGGAAAGGGAAGGGAAAGAGTAATAAAGACACTGAGACATTCTGTACCATTCCAATAGGGTAAGCCCTTCTGATAAACTGAGAAGACAGGAAACAAAACCTGTGCAGTAACTATAAACTAAGCTTGGCTATGATGTCTTCTTCTGTATTTAAAATGAAGGATCTCATATGATTAGAAATTCAGAAGAAACACAGTCATGGCCAGACTGAATTCCAAGGGCAGAGACCAATCCACTGCTGACTCCCAACACCAACCACAGTGCCAGGCACTAGCACCTGCTCAGTAAATCACTGCTGAATGTAAAAATGATTGACGATAGCACCCAGACTATCACAACGAGCTAGAAAAAAGAAGAGGAGATTTGATGATACAGTCATTGCTAAATGCATGACACATTATAAAAGGCTTTTATTTATTTCATCCTTACAAGAACCTTTGTATTAGGTAGGGCAGGGATGGTCATTCTCCCATGTTAGACTCAGAAAGGTTAAAAGACATCTCTAAACCAAAATGGATGGAATCGGGACTTGACCAAGCCCTCTGACTTCAAGTCCAGTTCCCTCTCTACTCCACTATGAAGATGACAAAACAGAGTAATAGGGAAGAAGCCCCATCGTTCCGCTCACCCTTACCCACCCACCCAGATATATAAGATCTCTCCTTACCTATTCAACCGTTCCGTTTCCACCTCAAACTCTCTAATTTTGCTTTCTGAGATGGCAGATCCGTGTGAATAGAGTGTTTGGAAGATCTCCTGGATGTTGGAGCAGTCCTGAAGGGAGTGGGCCAGGTGTTCTGCCACGCTGCTGGATACCTGTGTGAGTGAGCATTAATTTCCCTTTGGACAGAGTCTGTTGCTTCAGGATTGCTGGGGCATGCTTTGCACGCAAAGCAATTTAAAGCTGACATTTCTCGAGAATCAGGCACCAGGAGATGTTTATCCTAATCTTTCTCAGTTTGTATAATTTAATTCTAGTGTAAAAAGCTAACTACTGTGAAAGCTGTATATAAAACAGGATCAAAATACAGCTGCACCCTCCAAGTATGTGTTACTAGGCAGCAGGACAGAGGGGATCATAGTCTCTAAAACTTTGGATGGGGCAATGGTGGTTCAGTGGTAGAATTCTCATCTTCCATGCAGGAAAGCCAGGTGAACATGGGAAGAAGAAACCAAAGCTGACTGGTAGGAGGGAAGCCTCCCTGAACTCAGGAATTAATGAACAGTAATTTACTTTAAACTTGGGCTTTGGTGGTTCAGGGGTAAAATTCTCACCTTCCGTGCAGAAGACCTGGGCTTGATTCCCAGCCAATGCACTTCATATGCAGCCATCACCTGTCCATCAGTAGAGGCTTGCATGTTGCTGTAATGCTAAATAGATTTCAGTGGAGCTTCCAGACTAAGATGGACTAGGAAGAAAGGCCAGCCAGCTACTTCTGAGAATCAGCCAATGAAAACCCTATGGATCACAAGGGTCTGATCTCTTCGTCTGTGGGGTCACCATGAGTTGAAGACTGACTTGAAAGCAGCTACAACAAAACTTTGGAAGTCTGGACTCCCCTGTGCCTTCCCCTATCCAGGCCATTATCTCTGGTTACTGTAGCCAAGGAGAAGGGCCGACTCCTTCATTTTCATAATTTTTTTTTTTTGCATGAGATCTAAAGTATGTAATTTTTGCTCAGTGCAAAATTCTACATTAGGGCCTTAAAAGTGCTCTTTAGGCTCTCTCCAGCCCTGAGGATCAAATAGCTGGTTATTCTAGCCTTGTTCCCAATCCTAAAAAGTATCCCTAAGAGAACTGGAACTATCCCTTTTCACCATCCATCAGCTCTTAAAGCTGCAGGGCTCACAGGCTCTACAAATGAAAATTCTGGTCCTAAGCTAGAAAGTTCTGGTCCTTCATCACATGGGGCTACATTTCAAAGGCAGTGTTTGTCTTCACTGGAGAGCACATGCCCTTTCAAGAGGGTGTGCAAGAGGTAAAGCTATTTTACGGCTTCATGACTCGGTCTTTTGTAGCAGAATGATATAAAACAGAAACTTCATGACTTTCATCTACATCACCAGCAACTAGACCTAAATCATTTTTCTGAATAGTTTCCAGTAGAGGAAAAAAAACTCCCTTAAAGCTGCAAAAATAATGTACCATGTGGAAACAACTATATATTTTAATCTGATCCTTTGGAAGGAAATCAAGTATGATTTATTATTATAATTAACTGGTTTACTGGAGGTGAACTTTGGAAGTTCTTCCATCATCCATAAGTCACTGTCTGTGTAGCTCTATTGGATGGTTTCTTGTTTGGCCTCTCGTGAACACTTACCCCTATGCTAGTGATTTCTGAGCCCAGGACTGGCCGATCGGACGATGAAGATTCGGACCTTGTCTTTGATAGCTTCACCCTCTCAGCAATCTTAAAAATCATAACAAAAAAAAAATTATCAGAAAACTACACATCATTCCCCAGAAAAACTTGTTCAGGCTGTTTACACAAGGCTACTGTTTAACCACGCCAACTAAAATGATGAATCAATTTCTTAAAAACAATCCACATGTCTACTTTTTCTACCATCAGCTTAACCCAAGGTTTCTCAACCTCAGTATCACTGCCATTTTGAACCAGAGAGTTATTTGTTGTGAGGGCTGTCCTGTGCACTGTAGGATGTTTAGCAGCATCCCTGGCCTCTTCTCAATAGATACTAGTGGCAATCCTTCCACAGTTGTAAGCATCAAAAAAAGTCTCCAGACATTGCCTAATGTCCCTTGGGGGGAAAAAATTGGCCCTGGTTGGGAATCACTGGTTTAACCTAACATACTGAACTTGATAGTTTAGAACCAACCGTATTGTAGAGACTAGTAAGGCTACATGGCAAGAGGACACACATATTAGCAGACTGTCCGTGGTAGACTCAGCCTATGCATTTAGGGGCTGTGGCAGAGCATGGGTGGTGCTGTTTCTCACAATCATCATAGCCTGACTATCACAATCCATTTTTCTGCTGACAGGGCGGTCCATCTCTTGAGTGGGGAGATCACTGGTTCATTACTCAGGGTCCCCCACTCGGCTGAATCTTAGTCCTTGAGAGCAGCTCTCCATCCACCCTAAAGTATTGAAGAGCTTGACAAAACGTCTTACTTCCCACAATGACTTGTCAGCTGTGACATTCTCCAGCCGTTTGATTAATGAGAGCTGGCGTCTAGGTTGCAGCCAAGAGAGATTTAAAACTATTAGTAGGTTATCTCTCCCTGCAGCTCTGGTGGAGGAGCCCTGCACTAGACCCTGGGGAAGCCCTTGGGGCCTGGCTGAGCTAATCGCATGCCTGCGCAGCCTGCGTGCTTGGCGGAGGCTGGTGCTTCCAGATACCAGGAGGAGTTCCCGCCCGTCCACAGGCACTCACCTTGGCGATGGGAATGTCATTGCTGCTGCTGCTCGTGCTCAGCTCTCCGGTGCTGGGGTTAATTGGGCGGTTGGCAGAAGTGAGGCGGCCAGGGCTGGAGGGACCTGTGGCCTGCACGCTCTGTAGTCGAGTTTGAAGCTCTCGAACCTGAAATAATAATAACTTTAGACACATTTGGCAGTTTCCCTGGCAAAAGAGCAAAAGAACCAGATGGGTGGATGGTGGGCTTTTATTTACATGAAGGGCTCAACATCACTGAAAAGCTAAATTGGTTGCATCCATATAAAAGTCACTGTATTCCTAGCTAGACCTGCCAGTGACCATCATCTGTTCTTCACAAGTATGAGGTGAACATGCTATCTAAGCCATTGGAAGCTTCAAGCAGACCATGTCTGAGGAAATGTTTATTCATTCAGCCCCATGTGTCTGCAGATAAGGGATCCCAGATGGAATCTCCACTCTCATGTGACTTGGAGCTCAGAGAAGGAAAAAGATAAATAATTTCAATACAAGGGCACGTGAGTGCTATAAATATCTGCCTAGAGTGCTATAAAGCAAAATAAACCAAACCTGTTGCTGTCAAGTTGATTCCGATTCATAGTGACCCTATAGGACAGAGTAGAACTGCCCTACAGGGTTTGCAAGGAGCAGCTGGTGGGTTCTAACTGCTGACCTTTTGGTTAGCCGCTGAGCTCTTAACCACTGCGCCAGAAAATGGGAAGAATGTCATTCCACCTAGGGTCATGCAGAGAAAGCTTAACAAGGGCAGCAGTACTGGAGCAGAGCCTTAAAGGTGTACAGAGTTACAACAGACAAGGGAAGCCTGGCTTTGTGGGTTGTGTGGGTGATGGGGAAGAAGCTGCACAAGCATCACGATGACATGCTGTGCTTGAAGAACTGCAAGTTATTCAGTATGCATGGTTTCAAAGAGATATCTGCATTGGGAGGGAGCACAGACTAAGGAGAAGGGTCAGTGATGGCACAAACAGCTTTTCCCCAAGTGACTTCAAGAGGGGCTTGTTGCCGGGATAGCGGGAAGGAATACCTAAATAGCCCCATTTAAAGAAGAAACACAGGGCCCTTTGACATTTAAAACACACATTTACCTGTTCAGAATTCAAATGCCCAAATTCTGCTTCTCTGTGGTTACGGGTGACTTCCAAAGGGGGAAGGGTCAAAATATGTGAAGGTAGCTGGTAGAACTTGGGTTTTTCTGATTAGCTGGATCACAGTTTTATCATGGTAGAATGTCTACCTTAAAAGGACGAACTGACTACAGACCAAAGGGCTTTCCAAACATTAAGGAGTACCAGCATCCTCCGGGGAGCTTGTTAAAGCAGGTTCCAGGGCCTCCTCCCCAGAGATTCTGATTGAGTAGGTTTAGGATGAGGTCTGAGACTTGCCATGTCTTATAAGCTCCTATGTGATGCTGATGCTGCCAATCAGGGGACCACACCTTTAGAAGCACTCACCTAAGGGAGTCTCAAGGCCATGCAGCACTTAGTCCCAGAGACAGGAAGAACAGAGCCACACCCCTGCACCAGCCCTGACACCAAAACCCTCCTGGGCAAGGGCAGAGAACACGCTCATGGATCTACTCTAGAAGCTGCTGGAAAGCTTTTTATGTTAAATATCTTGGATGTCTCCATCCTGCTAAATTGGGAATCAAAAGTAATTGAAATTTCAATAATTCATCAACATATTAGAAGCCAAAATAGGAAAATTCCCTTAGAGCAAATTGCATTCAATAGTGAAACAGCTGAAAAGTGCCTAATGTTCTGCTGTGGCTGCCAGTCACTGTGGGTTGATAGAAATGTGTGTCATCTTCATAACACGCCAGACACAGCACTGACCTCAAAATAGTTTAAAGACTAGAAAAACATATGCTGGTTGAAGCCAAATGGTATTGCTGGTGAGAGATTACAGGGCTCCTTTTGGAATGGTGCCTGACAAACCAAGAACGAGGCAGCCTGTTGGAATGCTTCGGGTAAGCCACGTGGCAGAGGGAGAGGGCTCATTTTCCCCTCAGGCCAGCTTCCTGACACCAGGGACTCAAACCATCTGAGGAGGAAACCTCCCCAAGGTAGACCATGGATTTCAATTTTTACTGCTGAGAAAGTCTGAGGAGGCCCTGAATAATTAACGAGGTTAACAACATCCCTCCAAAACCTAAACAGTGTCTGAACTGTACACAAAACAATCAGTGGTCTACTCCTAGAATCCCGATGAGCCCACTTGTCTTGCTTTTTTAAAAATATAAACTGTCCCGGGTAATTTTACAAAATCTACATTAAAAACTACTCATGTTTTAAAAATGTGTCTTCTTCCAATCACAAAAGCAAAATATATTCATTGAGGAAAATTTAGATGACACAAAAAAATAAAAACAGAAAAACTGTCAGTTTTGATTACTTCTAATCATTTTCCAAAGAGTGTGCACACACATATGCACACACACACACACGTGTGCATGCTGAAAATAATTTCTAAATCAAAATATCCATTCTCATTTAAAAATCTTTGGACCCAGAGAATGTCTTTGAAAACTAAACGAGGATAAATATGCCTATTTTGGGCTATGCTTTATTATTTAATGATGATTGTTAGCTAGTGAAAAAAATCCAGCTGACAAGTGTGTAGTGAGCCTGTCATAGAAAGAGAGAGACAGCTGGGTGAGGTAAACAGGCTTTTCCCCATCTTGATCTTGGGGAAGGGGATATTATTTAAATTTAAAAGAATAAATGCACCAAAATGAAGGTTTCAACCAATCTGCTGGTTAAGCTTTAGGTCTGTCATACTGTGGTTGCTTGTATGTTGCTAAGATGCTGGAAGCTATGCCGCCAATATCTCAAATACCAGCAGAATCATCTATGGTAAACAGGTTTCAGCAGAGCTTCCAGACTAACACAGACAAGAAAGAAAGGCCTGATGATCTACTTCCAAAAATTAGCCAATGAAAACCCTATGGATCACAACAAAACACTGATATAGTACTGGAAGATGAGCCCCTCAGGCTGGAAGGCACTACACAATGGCTGCAACTATGAACTCCAGCATACCAAGGATCATGAAGACGGCACAAGACCAGCAACGTTTCATTCTGTTATACGTGGGGTCACCGTGAGCCAGAGCCAACTCAATGGTAACAACAACAAGGCTTGGGAGAGGTGCAGAGACACAGCTATCAAAGTCCTCACTTTTATTCTCACCTTTGTTTCATCAGAGATACTATTGTTAAAGGAAATACGGTCCTCTCTACAAAATAAGTGTTTTGGAGTCAGGGAATAGCTAGAAATTATGGCTAACCTAAGGCAGGAGTTGATACTTGTGGGAAAATCATTCATCTTCTTTCATAGCCTTTCCAATCTGAGAAATGATTTCACCAGCCATTTCCTCATTTCTCTCAAAGTTAGTATATAGTCAACACCCATATAGATGCATAGGAGAGAAGCTCATCCATTATATAGGTTGGAACCCCGGTAGAATACGAAGGTAAGATTTGTGTCTTCCAGGGGCTCAGAGTCAGGCCAATCTTCACAATGTGAACCATGCTCTGCAAAGGGGTACCAAGAAGGGAGTGTGGAATTGTGGAAGAAGGAACACCTCTGCCTGCCTAGAGTAGGAAATGTTGGAAAATTTAATCTTTAAAGTTGATAGCTGTTGAAGAAGCAAAGAAAGGAGAGAAGGCAATGGGGAGGCTCGGAAAGGTTTCCAGTAAGGAAATTAACATTAAAATGTCATAATCCTGCTTCTCTTGAGTATTCCTTAATGATTCCCAAAGGGAGAAAAAGGTTTTATAAAGATCATTTGATTAGAGAAGAAAATAGATTGTAGTGAGGAAGAGAAAGGAGATGATTCAAGAGGTGTACTGATAGTTCAGGTGAGAATGGTGAGGGCCCAAACATAGTGAAGTGGGAATAAAGAGGGTAAACTCTAGACCAGCACTGTCCAATAGAACCTCCTGCAACACTGTCCAGTGTGGTAACCTCCAGGCACCCATGGATACTGAGCACTTGCAATGTGCCTATTGCACCCAAAGAACTGAATTTTTAATTGTATCTGATTTGATTTAATTTCATGTGAATTTTGCATGTGGCTAGTAGCTACTGTATTGGCCAGTGCAGCTCTAGAACTATTCAAGGAGGTAAAAAAACACCCACATTTGTGGCTGAGATGTCTAGGCAGATCATGGTGCTACTCAGCAAAGTGGGGAAAACTTAAGGAGTTGATTTTTGCAGGGAGAAATGGAGATGCCGAACCCTGGTGGCGTAGCAGGTTAAGAGCTCGGCTGCTAACCAAAGGGTCAGCAGTTCGGATCCACTAGCCGCTCACTAGAAACCCTATGGGGCAGTACTACTTTGTCCTATAGGGTCGCTATGAGTCGGAATTGACGCGATGGCGACAGGTTTTTGTTTTTTTTTAAATGGAGATGCCAGCTTTGGACATGGTGACTTTGAGGAAACCCTCAGGCATTTGAGTGGGGATGTTCAGTCAACAATTAGAAATATAGGTTTGAGGGAAGGACATCAGAAATGGATATGCAGATTTAGCCATTTTGGATGTGGGTAAGTCTGCCCAAGGAGAAGGTGGGGGTGGGGATGGGGGGGCGCTATGTAAGCTAGAGAAAGGGAAAGGGAAAGGTCAAGGTTAAAAAGAAAGGCAGTAAGAGGACAGGAAGAAGGGGGTACCTTTTTCTCTGGGAGGGATGGAGAGGAGATGATGGGCAATAAGAAGGGTGAGTCTGCAGATCAGAGAGGGAGGATGGGAAACAGACAGGTTCCCGTCTGATGGTCTCTATTTTCTTTAAAAGACTTGAAGTCATCTGCCAGGAGTGAGGGGGGGAGAGAATAGCAGATGTTAGAAATGAAAAACGAAGCTGACTTAGGAGTCTCCTCCCACCCCCCTCAAAAAAAAGCTTACACAGCAACACTGAGAACTCAGCTGAACGCTTTTATTCAAGATGATAGACTGAACAGTGACTTCTTCAAACTCTGGAGACCTCATTAAAATAACAGTAAAGAATAAAAAACGATTAAAACCATAACAATGAAGAGAATGTGTTCAGGGTATTAGCAGAAACAAGACCTTGGCACGTTACTAGAAGGCAAAATGAAAGAAAGAGTTCTAATGTAAGAAACAGAATGGAA